ATTTTCAATAAATCTTTCAGTATAATTTAAATATCCTAAAAAAATTTGTATTTGTTCTTTGGATTCTAATTTATTTGGAAAATTTTCTATCTTTTTGGATATATGAGTTTGTAATTTTATCCCTCTGTTATCTATTGATAATCCAAGAAAGTCTATATCTTGTTTTTCTATTATTGATTTCTTTTTAGATAGTACAATTCCTTCTTTCTTACATTCATTTATGAATTGGATTAAATGATTCCTATGTTCTTCTTTGCTATTAGAACATATTAATATATCATCTATATAAACTATTAGGAATTCATTAAACTTTTTAAATATATTATCAATCTTTCTTTGATATATTTGTGGTGCATTTTTCAAGTCAAATGACATAACTAATCATTCATATTTTTCTTGAGGTGTGCTAAATGCAGTATATTGTATATTATCTTCTTCCATTTTTACTTGCGAGAATCCTGATTTACAATCAAATTTAGAATAATATTGTTTTTCTCTTACAAGATTTATTAATACTTCTTTATTTGGTAGAAAGTAACCATCAAATTTAGTATATTTATTTAATTCTTTATAATTTATAACCATTCTAGCTTTTCCTCTAACTTGTTCAGAGTGTTTCATAGCCATAAAGACTGGACTACTATGAGGCCCATAACTCTGTCTAATAAGTTTTTGTTCTAATAATTCTTTTATTTGTTTTTTAAATTCTTGTATATCTTCTATTGTATACATCATTGGTCTTACTCTTATTATAACATTTTCTATTAATTCTATTTTAGCTTTTGGGTTACGTGGTTTCCAAAATAATAATAGATTTTCTCCATAAACTTTTTCTAGTAGTTCAATAATTTTTTCTATATTCATTTCTATTCCTGTTTTTTGAACCTCTTTATATATATTTTTTTTTTATTTCATTATGTATGATTGGTTTTTTCTCCCATTTATCACTACGCTGAGTTGGCTGAACTCTATAAGATTTAAATTCTCTAAAAATCTTTAGTAAATGTCTAAAAGGTGTTTGTAGCATTATCATATAATTATTTTGTTTATAATATTGAAATTGTTGTATGAAATCATTTCCTAATAAAATGCCACATTCTAATTTATCATATTTATAAATTTTATTTATTATCACTTGTTTACTTCCAAGAATTATATTAACTTTATTAGCACTATTAATTATTTGAGTATTTTCTCCTGTAACACCCGTTATTTTTATATTACTATTATTATTTCATGATTTTATTAAAAAATTCTTAAATATTGTTATATCACTTCCTATATCTATCAAAGCACAAGTTGTTATATTTGTTTCTATAATAGTAATTTGTATATACACAGTAACACGGCTAATGGGAAACTTATCTGATTATTCATCTAATATTTTTTACTTAATGTAGTTTGTCCATTATGAACAATACATAATCTTTCTCTTTTTATACTATAATCTTCTAATCCATTTAGAAAACTCATTCCTAAAAGTATATGAGGGTTTATATCCATACTTCTATCTATATAATATGGTACTAAAAGATCTATTCCTCCTATTTTTATTGGTACCTTAACCTCTAAATCTGTTATATGTACTTGTCCATCAAAATTTACATACTTATATGGTTCAATTGTATGAGTTATTTCCCTTCCATTATAATATTCTCCTTCTATTTTCATGTTTCCAGCATTCCTATATAATTTTATTTCTTTTATTTTGTTGATTTCTTCTAACTGGTTTTTATTAGGCATTTTAAGACTTTTTGATCTTTTGATTAATTTTCCATCCTTAAATGTTATGTTATTAGAACATTCTCCTTCATTTAATTCTGTTATTTCAGGTTTATTTTTTGCTATGCCAAATTCATATTCTTCTGGAATTAAACTTATTTGTTTATTTGGTTCTATTATTTTACTAATATCTTTACATTCTTTATGAACTTCAATATATGGTTTATTGGAATAAATATTTCCATAATTAGAATTAGTAAATGTGTATAAAGCTCTATATTCTATAGTCATAATTTGATCACCTGATTGCATAATATCATCTCTATGAAGCTTGAAATGTAGTTCTAAAACTTCATTAAAGTTTTTATCTTTTAATGATACACAATATTTTGGATAACATGTAAACATGATTTTTTGATTTGCTAAATTCCCTTCTATTGTTTCCAAATGACTATCTTTTAAATTTATTATTCTTCCATCATGTAAGGTTATAGTTAATGGTAAATTTATCCCTTCTCTAAATAGTGATTTAAACATTATTTGTATTCCTGCTAAATAAACATATTGAATTTTTTCACTTTGTTTTTTTACTAATTTTTGTTAATAGTTCATCAACTGTATTTCTTGTTAAAAGATTTAATTTATGTTGCCCATAAGTTGTTCTTACATTTATGGTTTTTTCTATTTTGTGGTATTCGTTTATTGCTATTCTTTCTCTTTTTCAAATTCTATCAAAAACTTCCCATTTTCCTATTTTTAAATCTAACGATAATTTTTGCAATTTCCTAAACTTGTTATTGTCCAAAGTGACTTTTAATCCATATCCTTCTATTTCTTCATATTCTTGTATATTTACATTATTACTTTCTATTTCTTCAATTTCTTTATTCAAATCCTGATCTATCTTTTCTGTTTCACTTATATATACTTCTTGATCATAATATTCTTTAATATCTGATATTTCACTTAATTCATCTTTTATTTTTAAATATTCTTTTTGTAGTATTCTGACTTTCTTTTTATCACAATCAGGGTTTATATGACATATCTCTCCACAATTCTAACATTTACATTGACTTTTATTTTTCTTATAATTCTTATTTTTCTGTTGATTATATGGGTTATTTCTTCTTTTATAATACCATCTTCTTGGTTTTATATGTTTTTTTATTAAAATTTCTAAATTTTTTAAACTTTTTATTTTTGTATTTTCTCTTATTAACTCTTCTTTCAGAATTAAATCTTCATTGCACAGGGTATTTCATATCTTCACAATATATTCTAGTTAATTTTCCTGATTTTTTCATTAATTGTCTTTGTTGATATATATATGCAAGTTTTTCAAATAAAAATTTTATTCTTGAGCCTAAAGTTCTAAGTATTCCAATATTATCTCTAACATATTTTTCAAATTCTATTTTAAAATATATTCCCCAAGAATCTGGTAATTTATTATAGTACACATCTTGGTATACTTCTTGATTTTCATTACTATAAAATTGAACATAGTAATAGTTTCTGAATTCACAAGTATATTATTTAATTTTACACATATCACATATTGTTAAATTTATTAATTTAATCCTAGCACTATCTTTTTTTTCTTATTTCTTCTCTTTCATCATTTCTTATCCAATTTTCTCCTAAAAATTCATCAGAAATATATTCCACTAATTTTTCTATACCTCTTCTATCTGATTTGATTATTTCTGTTTGTACATTTCTTTTTATTAATGTTTTTGTATCATTACTTATTCTTTCCCACCAATTTCTAACATCTCCTTCAAATGATGCTATTAAGAAATTTATTCTTCTTTCAGTACTTTCTCATGTGTCATCTTTATTATATAAAAAGAATAATATCATCGAGTCTGCCCAAGTTAATAAAGCTTTTTTAGTATCTATTTTGCAATTTAAATCTAGTTTTGTTCCTCCATAATTAATTGGTTTATCATAATTATCATTTAATTCAAGCCTATCTTTATATTTTTTTTTTTAGGTGGTTGTCTATCTCTTACTTTATCATAGAATTCTCTATATGATTTATTATATATGGGTGCATAACTTTCATCTATATCATGTAATTCTTGTTTAGAGGTTCCTAGTGGATTAGGTCCTCCTCCAGTATTCATTAAAATTTGGTATTCACTTATATCTGTTAAGCTTAATTGATCAAAATTTTCTATTAGTAAATATAACTCTTCATTCATTTTTATCTTCTTTTTCTTCTATTTTTAATTTTCCTAATGATTTTTCTCTAAATTCTTTTTTTTCTTCTAATATTTTTGGTAATATTTTTTTTTTTAAATTCATCATCTATGCTTCCTGTTTCTACTACTATATTTTCTTTTTCTATATTTTTCTTTCCTATCCGAGTCATTTCTTTTTCTATAAATTTTTTTTTATCTATTTTCTTATCTGTACTCTTATTATTTTCTTTTAATTCTCTAATTTCAATTTTTAATATATTTATATCGT